ATTAATACCAGAGCTTGAAAAACTTGCTTTTTGAACTACAATGCCCAGAATTCCTCAGAATATGGCTATATTGGCTAAGGCTAAGGAATCCTTGGAAGGTGTCATCCAAAAGATAACTTTTAAATGCTCTGCATTAACATGCTCACCCCTCTCTTTCTTACACACACACACACACACTAATACAAGCCCCTCCAAAAATGAGGGATTTCTTAATTACTCTTCCAGAAAACTCTGAATTTAATAAAGGCAGAATTATGGAAGCTGCACAACAGCAACTAAAGGGCCTGAGGGAAAAGTTCCAATTCACTGCCCTCCAAGGATGTTAGGAAAGGCCACATGTACAGTACGTGATTTATTAGAAATTACAAAAATAAAATGAAATAAAACATGTGAACAGATATGGTAGATGAAATGAGACACCACATAGAAACCTTGGAGCAAAGAGAGGAACCCCATGAGACCATTTAAGAGCCTGATGAGATTTCCATACATTGCCAGTGATTTCTATACATCTATCTTGGAAAGGGGGAACCCACATCCATAAAAAAGTGGTGGATAAAATATTATTTACAAAGAAACTTATACAGTACTCTCCCAAACCGTACCGGTCAAATGCTTAAGAATATGTACAGTACCCCTGAATTAATTGTGTGCATGTGCCTTTGGATCATCTAGAATCTAGGAGGAGGCTTGAATTGTGCCAGATGGATTCGATATAGCAGCAGAAATCCAGTTGATATTTAAAGTGTAGTGTTACAGTTTAGCAGCAGTGTAGTTCCCCTGGCCAACATGGGCATGTTGTGTGCACAAGTGGAATTTTCATGAAACTAAAGAAACAAAACAAAAGAACGGAGGTGAACAATTCGGGATTTTTCATAGCCAAATGGAATGAGGTTCATGGAAAAGTTCATGGACAGAAGGGGAAAGGCCTGGTTGGTGTCACAAATCTTCATTTACAAAAAGTAATTCTAGTGGCCCACTATATCTGGAGCAGGTAAGTGTGGAAAAGTTACTTTTGAACTACAATTTTTAACTACAAACTACAACAGCAGCTTTCCCCAACTTTTCCAAGTTCTGGTTTGGAGTAATTTCTCCACAAAGTTAATTCTTCCTGCATCCTAAACAATGTTGATTGATGTTTTTAAGAATCAGGAGAAAAAATTATTAAAATAGAACAGGCCACTAGACTGAAAATCTATGTATTCACCTTTCCCCAATATTGGGACACAAGGCGATTTCCAAAATATTAAAACCAGAACAAATTTAAAACATACTATATATGTATGCAGTGCCATTCACAGCTTTGCTCTGGCTTTCCTGAAGTTCCATAATAGCTTTGGGAAATTTTTAAAAAGTGAAAGCTTTACTTAAAGTTTGCTTCTAAGGAAAAGATAGCCCCATACCTGTAAAGATAGTAGCAGTTTTATTGATATTTACTTTTAGTATTACTGTCGGTATCTGTCACAATTACTTCATTTATAATCTAAAGTGTCCATTTTTTCACTCATCCACCTTGAATTGGTTGCTGAAAAAAAGATTCTGGTAAGATCTAAAATAAATAAAATGAAGCACACAGGTTCTTCTAAAACAAGATTGAAAAGGCCTTCAAGCTGCTTTGGTAATGATATCAATAAGTTCCTTTGGTTTTCAGACTAAACAGATTCTGCTGAAAACTACACCTATTTAACTGGCCTTGTTCAGACAAAACACTGAACATGAGGAACAGAAATATTTGACAACTGTGCAGTTGACCCTCACAACTAATGTATATTTAGGAATGCTTTTTCCTATACATTTGTCATCTCTACTTGTTTGCCATGCCCAATCCTGCACACATCAACTTATTGGTAAGTCCCATTGAACTTACAATGCGGCAAATAAATGATTTTGCTTAACTGGAGCACGGGTGGGTGAGTTGTTGCACCCTAGATGATGTTGTTGGCTGCAGCTCTTATCTACTCTAGCAAGCATTGCCATCCCTAAGCAATGTTGGTCATTGAAGTCTCGCAATGTATGGATGACTGGATGAGTTCTAGCTATTGGCCAGAGCAAGGTATGCAGCTGAATCATGAGAATGCCATAATGAGGAAGCTGAATATTGACTGTAACACTCACAATCCTGAAAGTTTTGTTCGAATGTGATGCAATTGTGCAATCACTACCAAACTCGCACAATCCATTTGTACCAGACGTCGACCTCCTCCTCTCCTCCCATTTGCTCCCTTTGTTGTTCCTCAACCCTCGAGTCTTTTTACAGAGTGCATCTTTAGAAAATGACAGACTTCAAAGAAAAATCACACTGTGTGTTCCACATCCAAGTCCTGGCTGAGGGGCCTGTTTTCTTTTCAATATTGCACATATCCTCTAACTGGATTTTATCTCGAGAATGCAAAATATTTGGGAAAAATGCAACAACAACAAAAAGGAGACAAAAACACGTAAGGGAAAATTGTAAATGAACTAAACTGAAATACTATTTCTATTATGTATATGCTAGCAATAGGAAAATAATGAACACTTTACCAGATTCCTCTCAATTTTTCATAAATGATGAAAAGCAGTAACACATTTCTTAACAGAGAAAAGTATAATTTTAGTATAATTTTACAATAAAATATGCCACACTAATATTTGAAAGTAGTTTTAAAAAATAATTCTATAATGCCTTCGTCAAAATGTTCAGTGTTGCTACTGAAGGAAACTTTTGCAACCAGTTCACTGGAGCAAAAGCAGCTCTTTGGTACTGCAGAGTAACTTGAAATTCATATGCATTTGTTTGCCTCATATAAATGAAAAAGTTCCACCAAAATATTCTCAATCAAGGCTGGGGTCCTAACCAGCGTAAGTTCCAGAAAGCAAGTACCACTGGAGAGCATGGAACCTAATATTGTGTCAATGCTTTATGGAACTAATGTGTCAATATTTTTAAACTCAAGAGATGGATTTTGGCAAAAGTCTCAATGGCTACAAAGCTGGCCAGTATCCCCAAACCCAGGAAGCTGATTCCATGAACCCAAAGGAGCTTTATACACAATTTTCTTCAGCCTTTATGCTCTTTACCTTATCTGCTGCATGGCATGGCGCTACATGGAAAAATGACTCAGAAGCATAGGCCACATTTCTAAGTCATTTGTGATAAAGCCATATAGGAGACAGTCCCGTTCAAAGGAAGTTTGAATTTAAATAATTCTGCACATCTCTTGCATGAGCCTAAAGCAGTGGTTCTCAACTTGTGGGTCCCCAGGTGTGTTGGCCTACAGCTCCCAGAAATCCCAGCCAGTTGACCAACTGTTAGGATTTCTGGGAGTTAAAGGCCAAAACATCTGGGGACCTGTAGGCGGAGAACCACTGGCCTAACAAGACCTATGGATCCCAGCCTTGATAGAAATTTTAATAGAGTGTCCCAGATACTAACATTCAATGAATTCTACTTCTTACAAAAGTAGATGAGATATGGTGAAACTTTGTCTGGACTGTATACATTTGGGGACTAAAATGCTTGAAGGATCCACTGTGCCAATAAAATAAAAACACAAATCTATTGTGTAAGAAAATTGAAGCATATAAAAGGTACTTTTTTGCTACAATTCCCCTAATTCTCCATGCTGATGAATGTAGACTTTGAAAGTAGTAGGGAAAAATAACTTCACCAAGCTCTGAAGGAAACAAGATATTCTATTTCGCACATTACTTTTTTTTACATATAGAAAACATTGTTCTGTGTGTGGTGGATCATTCAAGCATATTAGCAGTCAAGGTGAGGCTTATTGCCTCATGTGATTTTGTTGTTGTGGTTGTTTAAGCATCAATCACAATTTCACAGACAACAAGGCATATGCGAGTGAAGTCAAATAGAAATAAACTTCAGATGTAGTGCTAACTAGAATTTAGAAAAACGAACAAATAGCAAGAGTATCTTTTCAGGCATTATATAAAACCGCAATAACGAACTCAGAAGTGCTCATTATTATTAAAGTTGCAGTATACAGCAGAACAAGTTTTTCAAATTTTGGGATTTTTTTAAAAAAAAAAATTAAGCTGTGTTTTGACTTTTGCTATCTCAATCATTCCTGGTAATTTGAATTAGGAAGAAAACTAGAAGCCACTCCTCCATCCACAAGAGGGCACACTTTGACTTCACAAAATATTTTATTCAGCAGCTCAGTTCTCTCAATAGTAAAAAAATAATTTAGATAATTCTGGAAGGATTATATGTTAATGAGTAGAATTTGTCACACGTCTAAGCAAATTTTGTTTTAGGATTAATAATTTTCGACAGAAATATTACAGAAATTTGGGTACATTGGGTTGTTGTGGGTTTGTCAGGCTATATGGCCATGCTCTAGAAGCATTCTCTCCTGACGTTTCACCTGCATGTATGGCAGGCCTCTTCAGAGGTTGTGATGTCACAGCGTCTGAGGATGCTTGCCACAGATGCAGGTGAAATGTCAGGAGATAATGCTTCTAGAGCATGGCCACACAGCCCGAAAAACCTACAACAACCCAGTGATTCCAGCTATGAAAGCCTTTGACAATACTTTTGGACATGTTTGTAAAGGGAATCAGATGTAAAAGAGATGGTTCTACAGGCAGTCTTTCCATAGGCCAAAGTTTGGTCATCCTGCATGGCTCTTTCTAGGAGTTATCCTAGTCCACATGTGCGAAATTGTTTCACTTCAGATATAGTGGGCCGAATCTGGCTCGCCACATCTTTATATGTGGTCCATAAGGCTATCAATGCAGGGCAACACAGCTTCATTTATACAGTCCTACAATTACTAAGAGCCCTTTGAAGGCAACCACAAGGCTGATGAGGCCCTTGGTGAAAATGAGGTTGACACCCCTGCCCTAGTCTAATTCCTTCTCTTTAATAAAATGTTTTCTATATGACCTAATAACTACTGTGGCAAATGATATAATACATGTGGGAAACAGTGAGACTGACTAAATTTTTAATAAGGTGCTTGCTAGTGCCCTTTACATCCTTTCTTTTTTTCCCCCCTGGACTTGACTGTTACTTTCAAACACCATGCAATCAATGCTCAGCTTACCAAGTACTGGGCCTACTTGAGATACCTGTGTGCATTTTTTAAAATAAGGAGCAAGATTATGAATAGCAGGTGAATGCAAATTTAAGAGAGATCACTTTAGAAGTTTGCCATTCACTGAAACATTGCATTTTTAAATACACTATGGAACCAGCTCCTTGGGTGCCTCTGTGGGCATTATGATAATTTGAAATAATACCGATGGGTGATCAGACTCATAATAAAGAGATATCAGAAAGAAGTCTGCCTTTATAGGCATCTTCACTGCTTTGTAAATACTAATTTTGGAATTGTACAGTTACTAGTACTGGCAAAGTGGAAAACATGGAAGAAAACTGTACTGAAAGAACAAAGGATAAGCCATATTTTTCAGACGTGGCACAAAATACATTTTTAAAGGACTCTTAACAAAATTTAGGGTATAATGACTTCCTTTAAATGGTGAATAGCCTGAATGACACCAGAATACAACACTGACATCCCAGCCGAATGCAGAAGGATATTAAATTGTATTTGGGTAATGAGTATTAAACTATGACCCAAAATTTGGATCAGGTTCTCCGACAATTTTTCAGGGCTCTGTCTGCCCAGGAACATTACTAACCAATTTGCTGCTTGGAAATATTTGTCCCTTTTCTTTGACAGGAATATGACTTTTGCTAACTGAATCAACCTTATTTTGAGAATCCATTGGCTCAATGCAGAAAGGTTGGGAGGCAGCACTTTTAGCTTTCCCAAGAGATGATGGCATCTTTAGAAGAAAACTGTATAGTACAATTTTTTAAATAATCATAAATTACGTTAATAAATAGGTGATTTTTAAAAAATGACAATTTATACTGCATCTTTAAATAATGCACTTGTTTTTTCTGCATCTTGGTTGAAAATTGTTAAAGTGCATTAATTAAAAAATAATGAACCACTTCTTCATCATTATTGTTAAAAAAATAAATCATAAACATTAATACAAGTTACTAAATCACTACTATTAGTACTGCAATCTAGCAGATTACTTTATGGTTTTGCTCTATTTAATACTGTCCAGCAGAAGAACATAATACTTCTATTAAAATCTGACAGCTACTCCGGCTGTCCTGTAAATAGCTGCTCATGTTTTAGCAGAACTTTTTTAAAAAATCGTGTGACCTGGAACCGCTAGAAAGAAGAGCTCCCAACAAAATCCACACTGTTCTCATTTGCACGGTAGAGCGCTCTCTTCTCCTCATGGATTTGTAGAGGCATCCCATGGGCTCTTTTCAGCCTCCCTTCCCCAGAGTCATTCCTTTCTCCCTTGCGGATTTCCCCACAGTCATAGGATGGAGAATTGGGGAGAGTCACGTATTTTAATGTTTTATTGGATGAAGTGAAAAGTCCCGTGAGCTTTGGATATAATCCATTGCCATTTATCATTGAAATTGAATGTATGCAACACACAGTTAAAAATTAATAGTAAGAGACAAGAATCAAGTGAGAATTATATAATTTTTTCAGGAAGACACAAATTTGATAATACCATACATTTCCAATGCTTTGGAAGATTCCTATTAAAAATATGAGTTCTTTAAAATCTTCCTGTTCTTTGATCTTCCAATTCATAGCAGGCTGAAAGTCCTGCTAAAAAATGTATGGGTTACTTATGTATTACTTTATGTAAACATTTCGTAGCGAAACCAACTGGTTTTCTTCTTCTCACATATAAAATGCTAAGCCTCGAGATAATGATAAACTCACCTGATCTTCAATGTTCTTAAGGAAAGGCCTTCCGGTGGTTCTTTAACCATTATAAAGTTTATTTAAAGGCTGGTGTATGAGGCCACATCAAAAATAAATTCGCTCTGTACTCTATTCCTTTCCCCGCAGTGGTTTTCTTAGTTTTCATGCTCTTCCACCAAATGCTATATTTTAAAAAACTCTTAGAATCATAAATAATGAGGGGAAAACCGAGGGAGGAAAAGAGCACACAGAAGTGAGCCTGTGCTTTCTGCATAGTAACATCCTCAGCCCAATGGTGCTCTCACTCATTTGCCCCTTGAGTCTGAAAAGTTCAAGTGTTTCTCCCCCAATACAAAAGTCATGTTCAAGTGGGAACAACAACAGAAGAGTGATTTTCTACGTGCTCTTAAAAGGGGAAAAAAACTACCTGTTGAGAACATAGTTGTTCACAAAAGAAAAATCACCCTCCCTACTCCATATACAAACTAAAAAGATTTTCGTAGATAGTAAAATCCATGGCTTTTTCTCTCTCCCGTTCAACTTTGTAAACACTGATGCATCTCTACTACATGAGACTGGATACTGTTTGGAAATGACATTTAAATAAAGAATACTTGGGCTCTTTCCACTAAACACATTTGCCTTTTCCCAAACCATGTGGTCAATGTGAGCTACATATGCAGCTTCAACACTGTCATTCTTCCCATCATTAAAATGTAAGGACACGTGCACTGGATGGAGATGCACATGAGCCATTGCCCTCTCTTAATGTAGTGTTTGGGGGGAAATCTGTGTACACAATCTTCACATAGACTTGAAGGAGAAGGCAAATTGGGCAATTAGGTATAGAGGTTTCAAGGACCCATGACTCTCCTTACAAATGTGGATCTTCCATGCTTCTTTGTACACAAAATGGAAGTCCAATCCCTGGGAACACTTCACAAGAAGGAATGGCAAATGCCTGCAAACAATAGCCAATTACCTGGAAGTAACTATCATTTCTTAAATCTTTTACTTTTTGCCCTTCTGTGTAATGCATCCTGATTGCCAGGATCCATTGTACAAAGACATTCTGGTTTTCTGAACTGGCCCTTGCTTTCAGATAATGGGCATGTGGGGCGATCACAATCTACATCTACACAGATGTACACAAAGAGGCCACTGGTGCTGTGGAACAAGGAGCATGGAGTTGGTCTCCCAAGTGGAGCTGTCATCCGCATGGACACAAGAACTGGAAGTCCTGTGAGACTTTGGGATGGGAAAAGGACCCTTCCATAACATTACCTTTACAGCTCTGATGGAAACAGGCCAGGCAGAACACACTAATGCTCTGCACCAAGCCAAAGGCAGAGCTAAAGAGGAAGAGAAGGATAAAACTGTATGAAAAAGCACTTTCCTTCCAGCTGGCCAGGCAGCCAAATCCTGATGGGCCATGATCCGGGGAAAAAAAATGGAACAGTTCATGTAACAGTGGCTTCCTCTTCTCAGCTACTGGCAACCAATGTTCCTTGAGCAAAGATGAAAAACTGCAACTTCACAGTCCAAACATGGGTCTTTGAATAGCAGGACTGTGTGACAAAAACTTTTAGAAGGCCTATGTAAAGCACGAGAGACCAAGCAGTGTGCACATGTGTGTAACACATCATTTGTAGTGTGTTTACAACTAGGAGCTGTATCAAGTTTGTTTACACTTCAAATTCAAATTATATTTTTCTCTTTAAAATGACCCCCTTCCTGAAACTGTTGACACACAGAGAAAATTACAGGAGAAAAAACATGAAGGAAGCCATTGGGGGAAAATGGAGCAATGGGGGTATGGAGTCTGAAACCAACAATGCACAGTGAAAAGGCTCCTGAGTCTTCAAACAATTGGGAAAAATGCAATAGCTGGGGAGCTGGTGCTGGATTCCTCACAGAAGGTTCTCCACTTGTTTTACATACTTGAAAGATGCCTTGGGAGGAAAGTCATCCACAGCTTGGAAAAATTATACACACTCCACGTGGAAGAAATGAACAAGCTGATATACATGTTTACACATGTCCAGTTTGGCATCAAACTCCTGACCATTCCCAAGCTGTGCATGGGTCCAAACAATATTGTGAAAGGCACAGATTTGGTTTCCTATTATTACAACCAGGATGATGGTATAATGTACCCTTTTGCACTCAAATTGTGAAAGGCTTCACCAAAACCAACAGCAATACAAGCTCAGGGATACCATTTTCAGCTGACTTTTCTTGATATTTTCTTGAATGAGCCACTTCCTTCCAACAATGGCAGACTTGCTGGTCATAGCAAAGTTCACTTCAACAGTCACTTGTATCCATGACAGAACAAAAGGAAACACCTAAACTTCCCCATTCTTCCTCATATGTACTTAGTAGAAAAGTATAAATTAGGGTATTTGAAGATATTGGAATTAATTCTTTTTCTCCAAATAATTCGAGGGTACCCAACCTTTAAAAGGTTTCCCTCCATCCATGATCTGACAGTACCACCAGCCATTGGGGTTCCTTTCCAGTACCTCCATGCAGACACCTTCTGGAAATCCAGCAGTTTCTTCATCACCCTCATAATCTGCAATGGACACATATATATCCTTAAGGTTGTTGTGGATGAATTGGGATTTTTCAATGGGTTTAGGCCGGACTGTGGAAACCGGAATTCCATTGCGCTCAGCTGGTAGGTAAGTGGTACTGTCACAACCCTCAGAGCCTAGTCGATCAGTATGTTTTATCTTTGAATCACTTATCTGGGACTGAGTAGTGCTGAAGGAAGAATTGCGTCGTACTGCCCTTAGGTGGTCTGTGGCAGTAAGAGACTCATTCCGTCGGAGAGAACAGGGCAAATTATTATCCTTAGCCGGTGGGGAGACAAACACAGATTGCGGTCTTACTGCTAGCTGCCTAATGCCATTTCGCAGTTTGACAGGCCCAGATGTTTTGGAGAAGCCACCAGGTGGTTTACTGGGAATAGGAGGTGTCCTTTTGCTCTGGTTGATAGTGTTCAATGCCTGGACCTTCTTCTCTATCTTCTCCAAGCTGTTGGATTTGTTTTCATTTTTTCTGTTTCTGGCCAGTGAGATGTTTGTCTCACTGGAAATGGTTTCTCGATGCTGGTTATCAGAGGGCACCAGATAGTGAGAAGGAGCCCAGCCTTCTATGTCTCCATATTTCAAAAACCACCAGCCACTTGTTTGTTTTTCTAGCACTTCCACTATTACTCCTGCTGGGAAGCTGATCTCAGAATCTTGAACCTTTTGGTAGGAATCAATAGTTACATAGATAAATTTTGAAGAGTTGTTTTCATTCTCTGCTTTGGTTGGCTCGCTTGAGTAGACTATAACTTGGGAAGATGATGTAATGAGATCTGCAGAACATCTTCTGAAGGACTCGTCTAGATTTCCAGAAGCACTGTGAGGTGGGCTTTCAGATTCTTCACTTCGTGAACCTTTAAGCCCACCTCTGAGCTGCCCAGTTGGTCTCAGCTGGTGACGTAAAGTGCTGATATCCATCTTTTCCTTGCTTTGAGAATCTGCTTTGTTCAAGAAAGGTTTGGGTCTCACTATTGGTTTTGCTCTACTAGACAGAGTCTCCCCAGTGTCCTTCTTTACGCCTGATTTGGGCACAATGCTTAATCCAGCATCAGAGGCTGACCTTGGTTTTGTCTCTTCATTCCGGGAAAAGTGAGGCTTCCCAAGATTTGGCTGAATGCTCTTCTCAGATTTGGGTTTTGGAAGGGAGGACTTAGGAGAAACAGAGCATGAAGAACCTTTTTGGATCAGAGACAGAGAGGAACTTCTTTGGGAATCTGAGTCTCCACTAGATTCTTTGCTTGACAAAGAATCTTCTATGTATGGTCGGAAGCCTTCATTTTCATAGATAGTCTCTTCTTCATGATCCACATCCTCAGAAGACTCTCCAACTCTGAATTTTGCCCTTTGGAGGGATGATACAGGAGAAGGCTTGGATAGATAGAATGTGCCTCCTTCCAAGCTTCCATCTTCTCCTTGGCTCAGCTCAGATTCTGAGTCAACACCAAAGGCAGGCACATCATATTCAGGCTCCTCATATTGTTGTTTCTGAGGGGAATCTTGGGTATTTCCTGAAGCTATGGTTCCAGCAGCTGTTATTTCTTCACAATCTTTTGGTTTATTGGGAGGTGCAGGGGGAGGAACTTTGGGTCTGGTCAAAGTACTGGTTCGCCTGTTTAAATTGGGCTTCTTCCTTTTATCAATGTATGATGCTGGTGCCCAGCCTTCTTTTTCGCCAATCTGCACATACCACCAGCCACCAGAATTTTTGTCAATCACCTAGAGAGGAATTAAAACAGAGATTAACTTTTAAAAATCAAAATACCTTTACAGTCTACATAACTACAATGACACAATTTGATGCAGGGGGCTGCCTAACATGCACCCAATGTTTATCAAGGACCTGTCTTTCACTTGTTCTTTTCATTCTTTTTCTAGACTTACCTCTGCCTTTTGTCCTCCATGGAAACTGATCCCATCTGAGATACAAGACTGAAACTCGGCAATAGTATAATATTCAACTTCAACTGATGGTGGCTCAGGGGGTTTCGGTAATTGAAAGCCCTGCAGCAAGAAACAGTAACATGTAGTTAAAATGACAGGAGAGATAACAAACAAGAGTATTTTAAGCAGAGATGGACGAATCGCTATCTCGATAGAGAACCTGATTGTATTCATGGATAGTATTTGTGCTAGCTTATCACTTAACTGAGGAACCAGTGACATCTTACAATAAGACGGAACAGAACCAGGTGTTTAAGAAAAAACTCACAAAAAACAGCCTGCTATTCTCAACTTGCAGGAGCCCTTTCACGCAGCCATTATTCCAGTGCATGGAATCCTGGAATTGGTAGTTTAAAGAGGATAATATAGAATTCCCTGCCAGAGAGTTCTAATATTTCACCACATTTCAAAACTCAGGATTCAACAAAATGGTACCTATGCACAGTAATTGTGTAGTCTAAATAGAGCCCTGCTTTTCCTAGGTTTCTACTCTTGTAGAATGAACTATACAAGAACCAAGCCCAATGGAATGTGACCTGTATCTTTTGGATTATGATGTTGAGCTGAGTACAAGCCTTCTAGTTGCTATTACAAATTAGCCATTTCCCTTTTAATCTAAAAGCCTGGCAGAAACAACTCTGTACAAAGAGAATCCTTTTGTCTTTTAAGTATTATTAATCTACTATCTGCATTTGGGAGCCCCCGGTGGTGCAGCGGGTTCAACCGCTGAGCTGCTGAAGTTGCTGAGGTTGACGGTTTGAATCTGGGGAGTGGGGTGAGCTCCTGCTGTTAGTCCCAGCTTCTGCCAACCTAGCAGTTCGAAAACATGCAAATGTGAGTAGATCAATAGGTACCACTTCTTCGGGAAGGTAATGACATTCCATGCAGTCATGCTGGCCACATGACCTTGGTGGTGTCTACGGACAATGTAGACACCTCTTCAGCTTAGAAATGGAGATGAGCACCATTCCCCAGACTTGAAGATGAATAGACTTAATGTCAGGGGAAATCTTTACCTTTACCTTTTATCTGCAATTGGATGAAGTATTTAAAAAGATAAATATTTGAAATACTGTATTAAAGCAATCAATTCAGTTTACCTGGCTACTGCTAAGACTTTTCCAGATATTAGGAAGTGCCTGGAAATTAGGAAGTACCTCAGCTATGTTCTTTATTTCAGCCATATTGTTTTGTTGTTGTTTACAATTGTGATTGTTTTTACATCTTTATATCTGATAGTTTAATCTGGTTTTTTTTTTGTAATGTCAGGAGCGACTTGAGAAGTTGCAAGTCACTTCTGGTGTGAGAGAATTGGCTGTCTGCAAGGACATTGCCCAGGGGATTCCTGGATGATTTGATGTTTTTATCATCCTTGTGGGAAGCTTCTCTCATGTCCCCGCATGAAGAGCTGGAGCTGATAGAGGGAGCTCATCTGCCTCTCCCCGGATTCGAACCTGTTGTGTTGTATTTGTAATTTTGGGCTTGTCCCTTGTAAGATGTCCCAAGTCCCCTTGGGGAGATGGTTGGCGGGGTATAAAAAAGTTATTCTATTATATTATTATAACATGGGTTCTAGATTTATGTCTTTGTGTCCTTATGAAGTGTGTGCAAAGGGGCAGTCATTTCCATCTTCTTATTGTAGGCTCTTAGAACAGAATCTGGGACCATCTGCTGTGGCTCAATAGTGAAAGAAAGTCTCAATATCCACTTTTTTCACACCATAACTAATTTTATACTTCTACAATCTCCCCTAGTTGCCTTTAAGTCAAGGCTGACCTAATAGCACATTGACATAATATTTCTCTGCTAAGATGTCTACATTTTGTCATACATGTGTTGCTTTAGCCACATATTGATTTTGTTTGGCTTTTTATGTACATTTCGTGGCTTACAATGCAATATGGTGACCCATGCAGCACTTCATATTCTTAAGGTTTGGTATTTTACAATTTCCCCAATGTATTAACATCATACAAAATGTAATAACATTTGTTATTGCTGTTGCAGTTAATCTTTTTTTTTCTACAAAAATAGCTATATATAGTTAATATTTCTGAAATTGTAGTTTTAAAATTAAAAAAACAAGGAAAATGTTTTTAAAAGTGCTACCCCAATTAAAATTAAAATGGTATGATATGAAAACAATTTATTACTAATTATAATTTAATTATTTGCATTACTTTGAAAATAGTTGCTGAAAATGTTAATGACTTGGAGAGAATAACAAATTAATTTTGGATTAACAAATTCCGGGCTGCAAGTGTCCCATGTGTGGTTACACCACATATTTGTATAAAGGCATTCAAAATGAAGAAGTGGGAAGGGGATGAAACACAGTTCTGCAGAACTCAGCTGTAGCTCATGGATCACACACCACTCTACAATACTTTGTTTAATTAGAAATACAGAAATTGTCTGTTGTTTTGGAAAACCAGAGCAGCTGGCTACCCTCATGTTTCTTCTGTTTTTCTGGTTCCAGAGCCAGTCTGCCCAGAGGAGGGACAGAGTAGGAGAAAGGATATGCAGGAAATGAATGGGGGAAGAAAGTAGCAAGGAAATCAATGACTGTTTTCCTGCCATTTCAGATTGATTTGGAAAATAAGTAGACTTATTTTGGAATTTTGGCTTGGTTTATTATTCTGAACCAATTCAAAATGTGTTCAGTAACAGCTGTTAATATTTAATAACAGCTAATGACACGTTAATTGGATCCTCCATCCAAACACAACTGTAAGAACTGTGCTATTACACTGATGCCTTAGAGGGTGCCGTGCTCTTTTTCTTCAAGAGACTTCCAATAGAGGTTGGATGGTGAACTTTTTGGGGAGTTTTTAAGTTGTGTAGTCCTGCATGGCAAGGCATTGAATAAGGTGGTCCTTGCCATTCCTTCCAACTCCATGATTCTTTGATTGAGTGGAACTTTTGTCTCCTTGGATTGTTGTAGGTTTTCAGGCTGTTCTAGAAGCACTCTCTCCTGACGTTTCACCTGCATCTATGGCATGCATCCTCTGAGGTTGTGAGGTCTGTTGGAAACTAGGAAAATTGGGTTTATATATCTGTAGAAAGTCCAGGATGGGAAAAAGAACTCTTAACTGTTGGAGCTAAATGTGAATGTTTCAATTGGCCATCTTGATTAGCATTTGATGGCCTGACAGTTTTTAGGTGTGGCTTGTTACTGCCTGGGGGAATCTTTGTTGAGAGGTGATTAGCTGTTCCAGATAGTTTCTTGTCTGGAGTTCCCCTGTGTTTGAGTCTGCTTGTTACGTATGGGGTTTCAGCTGGCTAGGACATATCATACCAGTCCTCTCCAAGCTGATGGGACTAATCATTCAGTTCAGGACTGACAGTCATTGTAGTACAAAATACTAATCATTCTGGTCATGACTGACAGCGATTGGAATGAACAATCCTGCCCTGCATGCCAAATATTTCTGTTGTTCCTCCATACTTCAAAAATGTTCATTAGACATGCCATGAGCTCACTAGGACAGGGAATGAAGGAAAGGTATTCTTTCACCCCATTTCCATGGCTGTTTTTGTTTTTAGCCACTAACTGTAGCTCTAAAGGGAAGAACAGGACAACCCAGGAAATCCTCTCCAGACTAGATGTGAAAACCTACCTGGAATAAGAGTTTATGGGATTCTAGTTGGTAGAATATTCTTTAAGGAGAGATTTTAAGTATTCTTTCCGGGCCTGGGCCTGTCGAGTTCCTCTGGAACCTCTAAGCTTTACAACTCACATACTTCTTCCAAGCACATCAGCATGACAAATATTAATACACCATGGGATGCAGCATAACTAAATATCTTCAGATTCCACGGTGGTTTACATTAGACTAAACCAATTGGAAACAGAAGGACCCTTAAAAGTTATGTGTGTCTTTTGTTAGTATGGAATTAAATCGTAGCAACTTTGCCAAACTAAAGGCGAATGGGAAATAAATTAATAGGAAGAGGGTGGAGGAGGTGTTCCAAAGGGAAAAGAGCAGCAATATTAACAAGACTGAGAGGTGGTTGCATGGTACATTCATCTCATCCAAAAAAAAACAAGCAAAAAAGGCCCCAAATATAGCACTTGTAGTGGAGGAGGCAAAGGAGGAGCCATTAGCCATCTTTCTCAATAATTGGCTACAGGACTTTAGAGCCTAAGAGGTGAGGAACAACCACTGCTAAAAGATCAACCTACTGAAATCTATTATTGGGTGCAACTGCGTCTTTCTTTTCTGGAAACTTTCCAGAGACCATCAGCCAATGGCTCAGGACCAACACTTCTCCTGATTAGAATATCTGAGTAGGACTGTCGAAACAACATTAAAATCTCAAGTGGCTCCAAACTCACAGTGACTGAGGACAGGTTCTCTCTCACTGAACCATAATGAAGAAAAAATAGAGTCGCTTCTTGGACTAGAAGGTAACAAATAACTTAATGGAAAACAGATATAAACTTGCTGAACTTGTTGACTAAATTTTGACAAGTTTGATATCTCCCAAACCCCCTACCTTAACAATGATCCATGTGATTCAATGAGATTTATACAGTGTAAAAGCCATATAGTTCTGTTTGTGATCTACCTTCCCATTGCCATGTGTATATACATGTAGCCACTTGAGTCTCAGTCATGAGAAGACAATGGCATTAGTGCATTCAAGAACAGAGAGACCATGAATAAATGTTGGTTTACTAAGTTCCAATTGATTCACTCAGTCTGCTCTCCAAGAGTAGCAATATTGACATAAGGCAACTTCCAAAGTTGATCTTTACTAGGTCAACCAAAGGCAAAATATTCTTGGTGCAACTTTTCAAAAGCACATATTTTTTTTTATTACACACACATACACACACAAATATTTTTAAAACATACAGACAAACGGGGGGACTGGAGGGGGGACTTAATCGGCGTCACATAGTCTGCTTGTCTATTCTGTTTGGGATTAACAGTTGGATGTAGGATGAAATGGTTAGAAAGCACTATATTTGTGGAGTGTTAAAACATTTGCATGTGTCACAAATACAAAAAGAAAACAGCACTTACCAAACTGGATTCTCTCCTTGGAGGAGGCCTGGTTCTTAGATTTGGGGAACCTAGTAAGAAGAAGAAGGAACATCCTCAGTTTAGACTGAACACACATTCTCAGTTTAGAAGAAACCAGATAACCTCAAGTATAATCTAGTAATCCAGTGTTTGCCCTGACATCTTAAATATCACTAAAACTAAGAGACTAGCAAAGCCAGAAAATAAAGCAGAAAAGACCAAAAGCTCCCTGCAGAGGGCGCTTTAGAGCTATGGGATCAGAAATGTCTCCAGATATAAACACAGGCCAAAGAGGATAGATTCAGGTGGGAACAGCCAGTCCTTAAGGTCTGGAGCTGAAAAAGGATTTAAAGTTTAAGAGTCAGCACCTCAAACAGGGACTAGGATCAGTGTTCCATTAGGAAACAAGCATGAATATTTCACACAAAATGTTTGAGTACAGGCAGTCCCCAAGTTACAAACATCCGGCTTACAAACGACTCATAGTTAAGAACAGAGGTGAGGCAACAGGAAGTGAGAGAAATCTGCTCCTAGGAAGGAACATTCACTCCTAAAATACTGTACTGATTTTGCATAGTAGAATCCTCCACAACTTCCAGAACCTTTCTCAACCTTACTCTGGTAAATGAAGAAAAAGTGGCTGGATCCATACAGTCATATAATCCAGTTTTGAATCCAGATTATCTGCTTTGAACTGTATTATATTTAGGGATTAGTTATTATAAGTTTTATATTGGGGCTGTTCTTATTTACTGTGTGATATATTTTCAAATGATGCGCGCAGATCCAAGTAAGGTTGCATTTTGCAGTTGAGAGATAATGATTTTGTCAATGTTTATTGTTTCCAAATGCCATCTGAGATCTATTATTATTATTATTATTATTATTATTATTATTATTATTATTACTAGTAGTAGTAGTAGTAGTAGTAGTAGTAGTCTGTACTGCTATATAATCCAATTCAAAGCAGATAATCTGGATTCAGAAACTGGATTATATGGCAGTGTAGATGGAACTGGTGTTCGCTATTATCAACGTACTGATAACATCTTAGTGTAAATCTCTAAATTATTAGCATTTATGTAATTTATGCATGTATGTACTTTATGAGGAACAAAATGAATTCATATGTACTATCACAGAACAAATACCATGTGGAAAAGCAATGGCATTCCGGTATATTCCAAACCAATTAATGTCTCAGAGTGATGATTCAGATAGGTGCAGAATCACTGAAAGCACAATGGACTTAAATCACCATTGCAAAATTTTAAAGATATTATGAGTAATAATATTAACGGATTGCTGACAGATCCCTGAGAATGAGCATCATTTGTACTTCTCCTTCTATAGATGTTGTAACAAGACCATTTTTTGTACAAAAAACAAGGCTTGAAACCAGACTGACTTGCTAAACATAACTACTATCTGGATCCATCAATAGAGAGGAAATTCTAATGTGGCACTGGGCAACCAGATGCCTTCTAGATATTTTGAGCCACTACTGCCATCATTCTTGATCATCTGCCATGCTGGCCAGGGTTTATCGAAGTAGTGGTACAAAACACCAGGTTGTCTATCCTGTTCTAATTCCATTAAAATATGAGAGGATTTCAGCTCTGATTGCATAGCCATTCATAATACTGTGTCCTTTTATATACAGACAGCCTTTGTATGCAGATTGGAAGAGGGTGAAATGATTGCATGCCTTGTCACTAGTCTACATGATTCAATAGAAGGTCAGAACCTACGAATGTAGAATTGTAAAAACACAGGACTCTCTATCCATGGTGTTTGGAATCCTGAAAAAGGCCTTGTTCAAATCTTCAATTTGGCATGTATAGGTGGTGGAGTTTGCTCTGATCCGACTCCTGTCAATGAAAAGCTTTTGTACCAACAGATCTTCTAAAGAATGTGGCCCACAATGCAGCCTTTTATAAGCACTGCACTGTTTGAAACAGAAACGGGTCTTGGGGTCATTCTCTATGTGCCATGGATCTTGCAATCAATCACAAATCTGTAAGGACTCTGCTAAACATTTTCTGTACAGAGTAATATCAAACATGGGGCCTGTATTCAAGATATAACTGCACTGTAGAACTAATGTGGATTGACATCACCTGAACTGCTATGGCTCAATGCATCTCTGCCAAGGACTGTTGTATCATCTATTTGCAAATCCCAGGATTCCAAAGCATTTAGTCATAAGATTTAAAGTGGTATCAAACTGCATTAAATTTACAGTGCAGATGCACTGTAAGACAGAATGATCACTTCTAGCCCACATTCCAGTTGCACTCTGTTCCTCCTCCTCTTCCTCTTCTTCCTCTTCCTCTTCTTCTTCTTCTACTCCTTTACTTTACTAGAGTGTTGAACAGTTTGCAATCCCTACATGGCAGAATGAAGTTTACTGCCAGATTGTGACAGAAACTTTCCATCTGAACCCTTCCTTTAGAATATTTTTATGCTTTGAATTTCCTGCCTGCTCTAGCAATAAATAAGCATAAAGCACAAAATAGTTATGTCCATAATGTACTTACTTATCTGGGCCCTTTGTGGCGCAATCCGTGCTATGGCTGGAGACCCCTGTGCCAATTTTGAAACTTGTTTGTCTTGAGTTGTCATGAAGTTGCCATTGGAGTCATTGCATAAGATGGGCAAGCTAATTTCCTTCTTGTTGATGTGAGATTCTGCTGTTTCAATTTCTGATTGGGTTTCTTTGTCACTAGAAGATTTCTTGTTCAACAAGTTGCTAATTTCCATGATGTTTCCTATAATTTCCACTGGCCCTGTTAAGTTTTTTTTCCTGGATGAAAGTTCATCTTTTGCTTTCTTCAGATATGAGGCTGGGGCCCAGCCCTCTTTGCCTAAATACCTAGAAAGAGAAAAAAATAGTCAGTTACTTACAGGTAATTTCTTAGGACTTTTAGTCCCAAACCCAGATGATTGCAGCATTTAGCAACATCCCGTTTGCTGAAGAATGCAATATATATAAACTTGTTCTGAGGCAGAAAGGGAAAAGAAGCCATCTACAAAAAATTGCAGACTCCTGTGATACTGCATGTTTAGTAGAAGCGTAAGAAAAATAACTTTTATGTTTTATTCTGATTTAAAGGGGTTTTTCTAGCTATTCCATGTATTTTAGAAAACATGGTTAAACAAATGCTGGGACTCACAGGTTCTAAAGGACATATGTGGACTAACGTGAGGGTTGTTTTGTATTACTTTCAAAACCCACATTTTGAATATCTAGGCTGTGGACATAATCTTCCATATATATACCTTTGGAGCCCCCATGGCGCAGCGGGTAAAACCATTGAGCTTCTGAATTTGCTAACTGAAAGGTCGGTGCTTTGAAACTGGGGAGCAGGGTGAGCTCCTGCTGTTAGCCACAGCTTCTGCCAGCCTAGCAGTTCAAAACATGCAAATGTGAGTAGATCAATAGGACCACTCCAACTGGAAGGTAACGATGCTCCATGCAGTCATGCCAGCCATGTGACTTTCGGGGTGTCTACCAGCTCTTCGGCTTAGAATTGGAGATGAGCACCTCACCCCAGAGTTGGGCACAACTAGACTTAATGTCAAGGGGAAAACTTTACCTTTACTTTAGGCTGTGGATATTATCTTCCATATGCCTTTGGGGCCCTCCCCCAATGAAGCAGCAATACTAGGGCTGCAACCAGAAACAAATAGTGGAAAAACACAATAGCTTCTTCAGAACTGCTGTCTCTCTTAGCAGTGTGGCTCTTGGAGCTGACAGAGGGAGCTCATCTATGCTCTCCCCAGATTCGAAACTCCGACCTGTTGGTCTTCAGTCCTGCCAGCATAAGGGTTTAACCCACTGTGACACTAGGGGCTCCTCTTCGAAGCTATCCAAGAAGGTACCTTGACTCGAGGGAGAACAGTTATGTCTGAACCCTTTCCCAAATCTAGTGTCTAGCCTGGGTGGTAAAACACATCAAATTATGGGTGGGAAAACACACCAAGTCTCTTTTTCAATGTCTTGTTCTGTCTGGGTGATCCTGGGCATTCAGTTTCCTCTTCCAGTTCAGAAGTGTATTCACATTTCACAATTGCTGTAGTTTGATATAATTTAGGCTGCAATAGTTCAATGCTATGCCATCCAGGTATTTGCAGTTAGTATTTATGACTGTTGTAGATCATGCTGCAAGGCCCACCGTTGAGTCTAGCATACTTTCAGCTGTGTGCCCTCCCCAAAAGATCATGATGAATAGAGGATAGAGTGTTGAAGAAACTGTAGGACACCAACCATGCTGTTAGATAGATTTTGGCTGTTGTACAAGGCTACCAAGTCTTCAGTTACTAAAGTTATTGCTATGTTGCTGTACTTTATTATTGTATTACTGTATATTAATGCTAACGAAGGAGGAAAGCACATTGGAATTTGCTGCTGAAGGGCTAAAATAATTTGGTTGACTTTGAATGCTATGCATTTTGAGACAAAGAGGGTAGTACTGGATTTGCTGCCCTGCTTCAAGTAATGAAATTTTTTTTGGCTGAGCTGGCCTCCACATATTAGAAAGGACATTATTGTTGTAATTTGCATTTTAAAATTTAATCTAAAAATACAGTTTTGTTAGTAATGGCAAATAATTTGGAAGGTTGTGGGACCTAGTGGGGATTTTGGTGTGATTTGTGCAGATAGCCATCCTGATCTATTAACCCAATATTTTTTGTGGGAGGAATCTATGCAGCTTTTAGACAAACAGCCCTGCACTCAGAACTATTCCCTCTTTGGTGATTATTATTCAAGAAATCACTAGTTGCATTAGTATTGGGAATGCTCCTGGATCTGTCTCTCCAAATGACAGACTAAGTCGGTGGTTCCCAACCTGTGGTCCGCAAGAACAAAAATATGGTCTGTGGCCTCACCTTTACTACACCGCTGCTTCAAAACCACGTGGCAATGAGAGTGAGTGGTCGCATGAAACCCTCTTATAGTGCCAAGGCAATGGGGATGGAAGGGTCTGACTACCAACAAAAGATTACTACTACCACACCAGCATCAGATAATTAAATAGGGTTTTCTGTGGGTGAGCAGACAGCCACTACCTGATGGCATATGTTCTGTATCAGAAACTGGAGCTGATGTGGTCTATCCAATGCAATTTTCCGAATCTGCAGCCCAAATAACCAAACTGAATCTAAAGTTGAACAAAAACTGATTCATAACCCTTTTGGTACTAATGTTGGAGAGTGGTCCCTGGTCAAGTGTTCTCTGGTCAAGTGGTCCCTGGTCAAAAAAAGGTTGGAAACCACTGGCCTAGATATGATAGTCAGGAGTGCTTATTATCAGCTTTGGCTGATATGCCAACTGTATCCCTTCCTAAAGATGGTGCATGAGCTGGTAACCTCAAGGTTGGACTTCTGCAATGTGCTTTACATTGGGCTACCTTTATACCAAGTTTGGGAACTCCAGTTGCTTCAAAATACAGAAGCCAGGTTAATTACAGGAACATCCAGGAGTAAGGATATTAGACTTATCCTAAAGTCACTCCACTGGTTGCCAATTAGTTTCTGGGCATAGTACAAAGTGTTGGTTTTGACCTTTTAAGCCCTACATGGTTTGGGTCCAGGTTACCTACAGGATTGTCTTCTCCTGTACAATCCACCACACACACTGAGGTCCTCTGAGGGCAGCTACTCCAACAAACCAGAACCTGACTGGTGACCGTCATCCATCTTTTCAGTGGCTGCCCCAGGACTGTGGAATGACCTGCCCGAAGAACTCCAACAGCTAAATGAGCTGTCAGAATTTAAAACACATTTGAAGACCCATCTCTTCTGGCAGGCCTACCCAGCCAGTTTTAATCATAAATTTTATAACTTGTGTCTTGTGTCAACTTTATTTTAATCATTGCTCTGTGTATTTTAATACATGTATTTGTAGAAATATGTTTCCATATGTGTATTTTATATCATGATTATGTGTTTTTAGCTAAGCTGTAACCTGCTTCAAGCCACAAGGAGAGGCAGGTAAGAAATACAATTATTATTATTATTATTATTATTATTATTATTATTACAACAAGATGAGTCCACAGCAAGCAAGATCACTCTGCTGGCTATTGTATTGAGTCACACGTTGGACACTTCCCAAGTGTCTAGGACTGTGTAATGTATTGGCGAATAATACATGCAGATCCCAGTAAGGTGGCCTTTTGCAGCTGGCAGATAGTAATTTTGTCAGCACCAATTGTGTTTAAGTGCAGGTCAAGGTCTTTAGGCACTGCACCCAGTGTGCCGATTACCACCTTTACCGGCTTGTGCCAGAGTCTTTGCAGTTTGATCTTTAAATCCTCATATCGTGTCAGCTTTTCCAGTTGTTTCTCTCCTATTATTATTATTATTATTATTATTATTATTATTATTATTATTATTACTTTGACTAAACAGGGAAATTATTTAGTTTCCATGGCTCGATGTTGTGAAATATACCACTACTTTGAAGATAGTGGCATCTGGTTGTGAACTTTTTAAACCAACTCCCCCCCCCCCAAAAAAAAAAAAAGAAGGAAGAAAAAGAAGGATAATATACTGATATGCTGAAGATTGAAAAGCAGCCAGAAGACAGTGACTGGGATGGGGTCGGGGGGAGGGGGGGGGGAGAAAGAGGGAGCGGCTACATTACTGTCTAAAAACCCACCTTTTGAAAAATGCTATGTGGAGATGAAAGTTAATATTCAAACCATAACACTAAGGGAAAAGAAGGAATCAAAAATTGCCTCCGTTTGTCTGAGCATTTTCTTTCCTCCTTAACATCTGTTTTCCAGCTCCAGAATACTGGAATTACTCCAGAGGGAAGGAAACCAGGAAGGGAGAGCAGGGGGAGGGAAGTGAAAATCAGTACAAAACCATGATTTTTGGAGAACGTTTTACTTAAGGAGGTGAATGTTATAGGTTTTAAGGTGGAACCTATTACCTAATTATTAATGCTATCCGCACTTGCGGTATGGGCAAGAAGACCCATTCATGCAATGTATCTTCTTTAAAAGATCCATTCTTCTTAAGAAGATCCATTCATGCAATTGCTCTCCTATGGCAAGAGACTTATTAACAAGAATAGTCACATTTTGCTATAACATTCATCCCTCTTTTCTATCAATTCAAACTGTGACAAGGTATCCAGCCACATGTAGGATTAAAGCAGTTTAACTGCCATAATTCAATGCTATGGAATCCTGGGATTTGTAGTTTGATGAGGCACCAACACTCTTCTGGCAGAGAAGGCTAAAGACCTTGCAAAACTACAGCTCTTGCAATTCCTTTGCATTGAGCCATGGCAGTTAAAGTGGTGTCAAATTGCCTTAATTCTACAATGTAGATAAACCCATAGGAAAGGTGAAAGTAGATTACAGACTTTCTATCTTATGTGCAATGATCTCAAAAGTGATTACTTACAATTGCATTGAGACAAAAAACTGAACAATTTATTTTTTTATTAGAAATTATGTTTAAAATATGTTTTGAGTGTGGATATAAAATTAAAACAGCAGATTAATTCAATGCTGTCATCATACATCTATTATTGGCAATGGAATATGTGGCTGGTGAAAATCAGGTTCCGTTGTCCATTGTATTATAGTGGGTCCCAACGACATTTACAATAGAGACAATCTTACCATGGACAGAGGAAATGGCACAGGGCAACCTCAAACAACCCTTACTCTGCTAAAGAAGAGCAGTCTACTACCACTTACTATCTTAGATAATGCTCCTCATATCTATGAATAGGAGCTCCCGGTAGAACAATGGGTTAAACGCTTGTGCATGTAGGACTGCTGACCGATAGGTCAGCAATTTGAATCTGGGGAGAGTGGGTTGAGCTCTCTCTGTCAGCTCCAGCTCCCCATGTGGGGACATCAGAGAAGCAACCCAAAAGGATGGTAAAGACATCAAACATCCGGATGTCCCCTGGGCAACGTCCTTGCAAACAGCCAATTCTCTCACATCCGAAGTGACTTGCAGTTTCTCAAGTCGCTCGTGACATGAAAAAAAGTATCTAGGAATTTTTCAGCCCAAAGGAATATAACATAAATTACCCCTGATGTAGTCTTTCTAAATAACAGGAGCAGCTTCAGGCCAATGATCCATCTTGGAATCAGCAAAGACAGGGTTTTCCCTTACATATGGAAGATGGCTAGTAAAAAAAAAAAAACCTCTAACATAAAGTGCCTTAATCAAACTAGAGAATAATCTCATATAGACAGAGTTTGGAGATAGCTGGGATCGGTGATAGAGATATAGGAGCATAGAGTGGGGTTTAGGAAAATGTGGCCTGTGAGTTGCATGGGGCTCCTGGATCCTTCTTTTGTAGGCCATGAGGTCCCGCATGAGTGCCTCAAAGCCTTTGAAGGCTATACCGAGTCCCAATTTTGGGAGAAAGCCAGGACACAAATAAATAAAACAACAACCAAACAATAAAGCACCTCCAAATGTATGAAAACATACAACCCCCACTTCAACTCCTTTGAAATACCTTTCCTTCCTCAGTTTTTCATTTTCCAGAAAGGCAACAGAGTTATTTCTGGTCATATGGAGGAAATAAGGAGGAGAAATAAGGTATGTCAATATGCATACATGCTTACATGTGTGTGTATAGGCACAGCTTATAGTAGGATGGACCATATTACTTTTTAGTAATAATTAAGCAATATTTTCTTTCTTTGGCCAAATGATGCACTGCTAAAAATGAAGGGCCCTCCTATTTTGATATCTTTCATCAATGAAAATACCTAAACTTGGAAGAAGCAAGAAATACTAGCTTCCTGCAGGGTTTAACATAAAAGTCTGCTGGTAACCAGAAAAAAAACCTCTTTCCAAAGAAAATAAGGAGTTCAATAACAAACAGGGGAGTTTGTGATTTTGTTCCTCCTCCTGCAAAGCCCTGTGCACTCTGCACCTGAACCCTTGGCTTGGGATTAAAGTCCAGCAAATGATTTAAAAAGAGAAGAATGCAAACCTGACAATGGGCCAGCCTTTCCCTGTTCATCGTCTTGGGAATCTACTCCCCACCTCTATCAGCTTTCATTTATTATTGATGGAGAAGTGAATATGGAAGATGTAAACAGCAAATGTGTTTTGAGAACACATAGGACTCTGTGTGGTTCCATTATTCATAGTTCTGGTGCTTTACAATGGCTAGACTACAAAAGCAAATGACAATGGATGAAAAATATCTACTCTACATGGAAAACATGTGAGCAAAAAGGGCAGTTCATAGGACCCTGGGTGGTATGGTTCTTATAGAAAAGCTCCCTACAGAGTGTTGGGATTCACAAGTTTGTATGCTCTCCAAGATTTGTTTATCCAAACTTTCCCAAAAAGCCACCCAGAAAAAAGATTATATTCCTTTTTCAAAAAGCACTCTGTTCAGTTGCTCTTCCAGTTAAGATGATATTTCTCTAACTGTCTAAGGCTGTAGTCCTTTGCATATTGATCTGGTTACAAGTCCACAAAACTCACTGGACTTTCTTCCAAGGAAATGTGTGTAAGATCTGGCTGTCAATGTCGCTGCTGCAGTTAAGTCTTCATATTCCTTTGATCTCTCTCATATCAGCTAGCAACAGCAGTCTATTATGCTGAGCACTCTAAAGACATACTGCCTACGTGGCATTTCATGGGTCTGGAAAAATACTGTAAACATATATCTAGTTTGCAGTTATTGCTGGCTATTTAAGGCTATCAAAAGGAGTGCATTTGAATTATAGCTTGGATTAGCAATTTTGCAAAACTAACATATGCATTAACAGAACATAGCTCTTCTTCACAAGGAATTTTTATAACTGCTGTTACACAACATGCATGTTCATCTCTCTCTCAATCACACACACACACACACACAAACTACCAACAACATTATCACCAGCAGTCTGATTAAAGTTGTGCCACTGTGTTCCTCTAACAAAGTGTGGGATGAATATAATAAATTAAAAGAAAATATAATTATATAAAGTAATACTCCTAGGTCTGCGATGGTTTTCCTCTTCTAAAATCTCACATAACAGACTAACCGCTATTCAAAGTGCTTTTACTTATTGCAGCTTGGCATTATAAATGCACTTTCAAGGTTTAAGTGACTTTGCACAGCCTTACAGAATCATTTTAAACATTCTTGTAGATGTTTACAGAATGCTTTTGCAAAGCAACATAAAGACAAGGCATGCCAACCCGAGAATGATTTTGCCGACCCTTTACCTTATGTACCACCATCCTTCCAAGTTCTTTTGAATGACCTCCACGGTGACTCCTTTATCGAACCCAATTTCGTCTTTCCCTTGGCTGGTGTATGGCTGGATGGTGACATATTTCTCTTCTAGTAAAGAAAAAGAAGGCAACATCAGTTAAGGTCAAAACAAAGCTCTGTTGTTCCTCTTCTCTGATTGCTCTTTAAAATGATTTTGCAGCAATTAAGATGTGGAAGCATTGCAGAGGCGGAGTCTTGCTGGCGACAGGGCCCTGTACCTATTAGCTATCATGCTGTAAGCATGCTTATATCAGCTCTGCACCACCGCCCCGCACCTTCCATGCCAACAAATGAGACAGGGTCTCTAGGGAAGGGGGCTCCCCTGAATCCTTCATATGGTACTGACAAAAATCAAACTAGCGCCAGGGTAGGAAAACATCACTGGGGGAACTTGCTCCAGCTGGCTCCATTTAGCACACACATGGTTATGTTAAAACATTGCATTACTGGGATCTGAATACTGAAGCTGGAGAGTGACCAACACTCCTCCAGCTCCAAGGAATGGACTGACCTCTCCTCTTCACACCCCTAGAAACAATCTGACTTTACAGCACTAAGCAGCCAGTATTTGTTTCTTCATGATTAGATCACATTGTACCTTCCCCAAATCTTAGCTCTCACAAGGGAAAAGCAAAAATCCATTTCTTTTCTAAACCTCATTTAAAACCAAAGCTCTTAGTTCAGTTCTTGCATCCCGATTAATCGACTGCAGGTTTTCAATATTAATGCAAGCAAAGACTACCAAAGCACTGCAACTAGCCTTTTCTTTTCTGTGATCTTGAGCCAAAATTAACACTATCCTTGTTATGTGTGCTCAAGCTGGCTCTGATTTACATCAAACCTCTCATAGGGTTTTATGGGCAAGACCTATTCAGAGGAGGCTTGCCTTGCCTCCGGCTAAGGCTGAGAGAGTATGATTTAGCCAGGGTCACTCAGTGTACTCTGAAAGTGATGATAGAGAGAGACTCAGGGTGAATCTTATTGAGCATGCATTTTGGAATCTATTTTGCAGCAGTGACTGAAGCAAAGAATGAGGATGCATGCCACAGATGCAGGCAAAAAAGTCAGGGGAGAATGCATCTAGAACATGGCCAGACAGGCCAAAAAACCTACAACAACCCCCGAATATTAACTATTTGCTACCTCTATTATATCAATTCAATTTTGCTCAACACAGCTGTTCCAAGGAGGTAAAGGACTATTATACTCTAGACCTCCAATTTCAGTTGAGGAGCCTTCAGATAAGTGTTGTGACACATTTGCTAAACACTTTGATCCAATTCATTCTGACTTGGGCCCCTTCCACACAGATGAATAAAATCCCACATTATCTGCTTTGAACTAGGTTATATGGCAATGTGGACTCAGATAACCCAGTTCAAAGCAGATATTGTGGATTATTCACCTTGATATTCTGGGTTATATGATTGTGTGGAAGGGCCCTTGGACTCCACATTCAAGTCTGTAAGGCAAATGAGGCATATATTTGTCTGGTTTTGATGGACAAGTTGCTTGGAAATGTGAGGTCAACCAGTTGTCTGTTAGACCGATGTCTATCCTGGCTGATTACAACTGCCAGAAAAGGACTGGCCAACTGGGTGGTGGATATTTATTTTTTATTTATTTAAAAAGAGGGCTGTGTTCAAACCTTCCTAAAGAAGCAATTGTAAAACCTTTGTAAAAAAATAAATAATTGGACCCTTTCTCCCTAAGTAACTGGCATACAATCTCTAACCTCCCCTTTCTAATTAAGGTCTTTGCACAAATGATGGCAACACAACTCCAGGCTTTCTTGGATGAAGCATTTCATCATATACCATGGACCCATAGTATATATCTGGCGTTTTGTGGTGCAGTGTCATCGATATGCAGATGACACTCTACTACTCCTTTCTCCAAGTTGAGGAGGCTGACCTAGCCCTAAAGCAGCATCTGTCAGCAGTAATGGGCTGGATGAGAGCAAACAAACTGAATCTTGATCCAGAAAAAAAGCAATTGGAATGCCAAAAAGGAAACAAGGATTCAGTATGTGTTAGATAGGGTCACACTCCCTCTTCAACACAACTGTATAAAATCCACATTGAACTGGATTTATATGGTAGTGTGGACTCAGATAATCCAGTTCAAAGCAGATGTTGTAAATTATCTGCTTTGATATTCTGGGTTATATGGCTGTGTGAAAGGAGCCACAGTTAGCATTTTCAGAGTTACTCCTGGACTCAGCTTAGAATCTGGAGGCCCAGGTTTCTGTGATGGTCAGGAATGATTTTGCACAAGTAAAACTTGGGCACTAATCCTGCATCTGGACATGGTGATACATGCCTTAGTTATATTTCATTTGGATTACTGTAATACTCTCTTACTTGCCTTTGAAGTCTGTTTGAAAACTTCAGCTGGTTCAAACAGCTGCAGCTAGATTAACTGGGGCTGGCTACAGGGATTATATACCTCCCTTGTTAACAACAGCTCTATAGGTTACCACTCCCCCCCCCCCCCCCCCCCCGAGTACAATAACAAATACCGGCCGTGACCTATAAATCCCTATATGACTTGGTTCCAGACTGCAATTCTTCTATGAACCTGCACAGACTCTGTGATTCTCAGGAGAAACTCTTCTCTCAGTCCCACTACCATTACAACCATGGTTAATGGGGACATGAGAGAAGACCTTCTTGGTGGTTGCCCCTAAACTCTAGAACTCCTTCCTTCTTGGACAGGACTTGAGTGCCATTATAAAGTACAGTGTTGGACTGAAACAAATGGAATGAAAAACTTAGATAGATGCAATGTTCTGCATTTAGGCTACAAATCCTAGAGGCAGGATAGGGAACATTTGGCTTAGCAGTTCACATGTGGAAGGGCCATTGGCAGTATTGCTGAATATTTCCTAGTGGTAAAATGCTTAATTTGCTTTAATAGAACTATGGTTTTCAAGACAATGTTAGTAATACTTGCACTATATTATGTACTCATTGGCTCTTATCTAGAGTATAGCATTCAGTTCTTGGTGTCTCTTTTAAAAGATGTATAGAGACAAGTTGGATCAGGATCAAACAAGGGCAACAAAATGATAGGAGTATGGGAAACAGTTGAAGGTTTTGGGCATGTACAGCTTGGTGATGAGAGGACTGCAGGGTGACATGATTGCAAATGTCTAAAGAAGTGTCACAGAAAGGAGGATGCAGATGGGTTTTTTTCTACTGACTCAAGAGGATCAGGTATAATGGTTTTATGTTACAAGAGGGAAAATTGATTGAACTTTAGAGAGAACTTTTTGACAGGAGAATGGTTTGGCAATGGAACCAATTACCTAAACAGGTGATGGGGTCTCAGTCTTTTGGCATATTTAAAAAGAGCCTGAATGATTACTTATTGGGGACGCTCCAGTTAGAGCTCCTTCCCTGAGTGGGGCCCTATGGGGCCCTTTCCAGCTCTTTAATTCTAGTATTCTAGTTCTCTAGTCAGGATGCTAGTGGTAACATGAACATGCTGCTCTCTGCTCAGTTTCTGAGCCAAATACAGTTTGTTTCTGGCTTTAAAAAAAGACATGAAAAAACTCTGAAAATCTTTGCAGACAGGATCAATCTTTGCCTTATTCTTTCTGAAGATGTTGGCAAACTACCCAGCAGCAAAAGAATTGCAACAAACCCACAGCCGGACCTGATTAGAACTGCTGCTTTTGGATTTCTAGCCCAATTACGACATGCTGAGCCATCAAAAAACAAGCAAACTTTATTATCACGCAACAGGAAAGATTATTATTAAAAATACAATGTTGGATCTTTTATGTATGCTTGCAAAGGGAGAGCATCTCCTGCATTTCTGAAAGAGTGTGTTAGATTAGTGACGGGCAGCACTTTCTTCCTGGCTCCCAGTAGTTGTTGCGTCCCTGCCTAACACTAAGGCTGGTCCTGATCAACATCCAATATGTTTTTAATGGTTTTCTGTATGGATTTTTATAATGTTTTTCTAAATGTTTTAATTGTATTTATGACTGTTATGGCATTGAATTGCTGCCAATTTGTAAGCCATCTTGAGTCGCCTTCGGGCTGAGAAAGGCGGGATAGAAATACCGTAAATAAATAAATAATAATTAAACTAAATCTGATCTTTTTTGGCAAAAGGTAAGTAGAACAATTTTCTCCATATGTTTTGGATATCCCTTCTCATCAGCTCTGGTTATTAACCTTGCTGGTTCAGACTAATGGGAGTTATAGTCCATAAAATCCAAATATCACTAAGTTATCTAACTTTGCTAAAGGGAAAACATGAGTATTTTAAAAATATGTAAGACACATCTCTTATTCTTTCCAGATCACATCTGCGAGAATTCCCCAGGAAGCATTATACTTACGGATAGAGTGGACAGGGAGAGCTGTACTTCCCAAGATAACTATTGTAGTTCCCAAGACAACTACTACCAACCTAAATCAATCTGCTTTAGGTTGGTAACATGAATATGCCATTCAGAAAGGAGCCTATATAATCCATATCCATAATTTACAACTGCCCAGTAGCCAGGCCTTGAAATGGAACTTGCAGGCACCATGCTCGACCATCCTTCAAACTATTGTGGCAACTGCATTGGTAGAATGGTGCCTAGCCATTCCTTTCTAAGACACAGCTGTGAAACTATACGAAAATAGGTCCTAAGTCCGCACTTTGGTTTTCTGAGGTAATGAAGACTTAGGAAGCCACATCTTGCTGTTGCAGTTAAACCAGTCTTAGAACTAGATGCTGACAGAATCATTTGGTGGACTCTGAGCTGTTAAAAGAGTTTTGGATAGATAAGGAATCTAAGCAGGGGACTCATTAACAGCCCCACATGTTAGGCCTTTGGAGGTGAAAATGATGAATTACTAGACCAAGGATCTCAAAGCGATTTTCACTTGGATTTAGACCAATTGGGCAAGCACAGAAGACCAAGTCGACTTAAGAAATCTCATTTCAGAGACACAGTTGAAGTATCCCTCTGTGACTATTACAGCGAGACAATAAACTGAGTTCTAAAGTTCTGTTTTGTGTGTTTGGCTCATGAAAGTCTCTTAATTTTTTTAAAAAGCTCCCAG